AAAAAAAAAAATCTTTAATAGGTCTTTGTAGTTCTCTGCATATTTTCATATTCCCAGTTTATTTGATCTTCACAACAGCCCTTTGCTATACAATTTATAGTAATCTAGGCGTAAAGGTCATTGGTCATAATAAAAACCCTTTTAAGTCTTAAAGATTTGATTAAAGGTGATAATATACTCTTAATGAAGAAATCCTACAAACTGAAACTGCATTCATCGCCTAAAAGAAAGAATTTCTAAATATTTTTAAAATTAGCATATTGGAAGATTTCTGAATACTAAAAGCACACATAATACTGTGTTGTTGCCCTTGCTTGTTATTTTTCTCATTAATATATATACTTAAATCATGGAACAGGTATTATGGTGATAATGTAATGTAACATTTTCCATTCTGTGTCTCAGCTTTCACTATTTGTAAACTAAGTGCAAGATATGTACAGCTAAATAAATTAAGAAAACTTTTATACAAGATACCATATGCCATATATATATTTCCCCCCACACTACTGGGAATCTCAGGACCTTGTGCTTCACAGCAAGCACTGTACCACTGAGCTATATCCCCAGCCACTACATACCATACAAAAATATTTATAACCTTAAGGAGAAGTTTATTTACTTCTCCAACAAGTGAGTAAGAGCAGCAAATGAAATACCTTCTCTGTAAGCAACCAATGTTGTTAGAAGTACACTACTGAAGGCTATGGGCATAGCTCAGCAGTTTAAGTACCTGTCTGGCAAGCACAAGGACCCAAGTTCAATCCCCAGTACCATAGGCCATGCCAGCCCCAGAACCCCAGGCAGTGTGCCAGCCCCAAAACTAGGCATAGTGGTGCATGCCTATAATCTCAGTGCTGGAGAAGCTAAGATACGTGGATCACTACGAGTGTGAACTGCATAACTAGACCTTGTATCAAACACATAAAAAATAAAAAAAGAAATACACTATTGATATCAAAATCTACAATACATAGCATCAGTCTTCCTCTGAGAAAGCAACTTTGTAACTATATAATGGTTCCTATACTACATTGTTTGAATCTTATAGATAAATGATAAGACAGATCTAAAATACCTAGCATGCCTTATTGTTTGGCTAAAGAAACGTTTCCCTAAAAGTTACATCCAGAGTGCTTGAAAGCATTTGAAGGGGATCATTCAGATCTTAGTAACTTTAAATGGCATGGCTTGTCATATTATTGAGGTTGATACCCTGATGATACAATGGTAACTCACACATAGGTTTCAAACAAGCCAAAATTATTACTAAAGTTAAGTGT